AATTTAGAATTTTTTATATGCAAGAGCAAATCTAATTTAGGTAGTTATGTTTTTTATAATTTCATCTCTTCAAAAAAGTATCAAAAAATTTTGTCTTTTAAGTAAAATAAAACAAAAACAATTTCATCTTCAAATTTTAATTTCATATTTCGAAACCTAAAATAATTTCATTGGCATGTATAATTTAAACATTTTAGAGAGTTTTCTAATAAATTTTGCTGATTGCTATCTAGAATTATCTAACTTAATTTATTTCACTATTATTTTTTATGAGTGGGCATACAAAAAAAGTTTCCTTTGGTCTATTGCTTTTTTAATCTATTGCTATAGAATAGTAAAATTTGCCTACTAAATCTGATATCAATAATACTGTATCTGAAAATTTACAAATAAATAGGGTTATAAATTTTTTGCTCTTACATGATTTATTTATAGTTTTAATTGGTTAAAGGTCACAAGACTAAAGAAAAATTTACATTCTGTGAGAATTCCATAGTATCTGCAGCACTTTCCATATTTACAACCCAATTTCATAATTTCTGAGGTATTCTGTGAAATGTAAAAAAGTATCATCCCTAATTTGAATTCTTGGGGTAAGGTATAACCAATAATTTGTTGAAAAATATAAAGTTCTTTACCTGCAAGATTAAAGATAAAAACTTTGATTTCTAGTGCTAAAAATTAACAATTAATAAATTTAAAATCTATATATGAAGATATATAAACTTATGAATTAATACCTGATGTGACCATGGCAATAACTCTAAAATTCTCAAACTCTTAAACAGATTAAGAGCTACAAAATATTAGATTATTGTGTATATGATGAATCATATTATGTAGCATAGTATATAATTTAGTAGTATTATCTAATTCCTTTTTTTTGTTATTTAATAACAATAATTTTCTATATTCAATAATCAAAAACTCTATATCATATTCTAAGTTAGTAACTGTTATATCAGATATTAGTGCATATAACAAGTTATCTGAAAATATTTTAAACCAATTTCTCCATTCTTTATTGGCAAATAATTCTCTAAAATAAATATAAAATTTTTTATTTTGGAGGTTCTATTCACTTTTCAAAACAGTATATAAACTTACTTCTGGGCTTCTATGGTATAGTTCTTGTCATAAAATAGATTAAAAAATATTTCAAATATTAACATGCTACTTATATGTTCTTCTGTATGGTTAAAATTCCAATAGCAGGACTTTAAACCAAAAACTGCCATCTATAATAAATGAAAATAATTACAAAAAAAAATAATAATTGATTTAAAAAAAAAAGTATAATTACATTTTTTCAAATAAATTTCTTATAAAATTTAATATTGAGACATCAAAGTCATCAGAAAATAATTCATTATTATTATACCAAGATTTAATAATATGTTTAGCTTCCTTTATATCTAATATGTCACTTATTTCATTGATTCTTTTAGATATTTTTTCACTAATTTCAGGCAATAGCACTAAATCATCCAAGCTTTGTTGGTATTTTTTTAAGATCAGATTATATAAATTGTTTTCATATAATTAATCATTAATACAAAGGACATCTATTTTAATTATATCACTAAAAAAAAATACTGATATTTAATTAGATATGTTGTTTTACAATTAACTTAAAACTAACAATATCATAGGATTGATTTTTGAATATGTAATATTTGGAGCTAAAATTAATCTATAATCAGATATAGTATAAAAAACTTCAAAACAACTGCTCTTTTTGAATAAATTGAGAATTTAATTTAATTAACCACCTATGCTCTAAATAAAAAAAATTTTCTTGCATGTTTTTTTATTAAAACAGTCTTTCTAATTCAAAAATAAATTCAATCAAACCTAAACCTTAATAAACAATATTTTGGGTTTTCCAGAGTTATTATGTTCAGATTGATTCTAAGTCTCGTCAATTTGAAAACCTACTTATGATGCATCAGCATTTTTATTTATTGGAAGCATTAACTTCTAGATTGTTGTCTATTTTCAAGAATTGTATCTAGTGCTCATCAAAATCAAGTAAAAACTCGATTATTGAGTTTGAGCAATACAGATCAGATCATAAAATTATGATCTATTTTTAGTATTTTATATATATACGTATGTACATAACACAAATCACTTATTACTTATTAGAATTTAGACTCGAAAAATTTAACTCTATTATAGCTTATTCGTAGCAAACCAAATTTTATTTTTTTAAATACTTTGGGTTTGCAGTTTGCAGAGATCTTTAGATTAGTGGATTTTTTTTATTTTATTTGGTATTTACTTGTCGCTCTGATACTTATAGTAGATGTTTTGGCTTCTTTTGTGGCCTTTGCATAGATCATTTCTTCTCATTCTTTTATGTAGTTCTTTCTAGCTTCAATTGATTTTGTAGTATATATAGATATTTTTTTGTGTTTTTTTTTATTTGATTCTTACTTGTCACTTTGATACTTATAGTAGATGTTTCAGCTTCTCTTGTAGTCTTGCATAGATCTTTCTTTCTCATTCTTTTGTGTAGTTCTTTTTGGTTTTCTTGATATATTAGATTTTTAATTATTATTTTTTTTTTATTTTAGTTCTTACTTGTCTCTTTGATACTTATAGTAGATATTTTGGCTTCTCTTGTAGTCTTGTGTAGATCTTTCCTTTTTATTCTTTCATGTAGTTCTTTCTAGTTTTAATTGATTTTGTAGTATATATAGGTGTTTTTTTTGAGTTTTTTTTTTATTTAGTTCTTACTTGTCTCTTTGATACTTATGGTAAATGTTTTAGCTTCTCTTGTAGTCTTGCATAGATCTTTTCTTTTTATTTTTTCATGTGGTTCTTTTCAGCTTCAATTAATCTTCTTGTAGTATATATGGGTATTTTTTTTGAGTTTTTTTTTATATAGTTTTTATTTGTCTCTTTGATACTTATGGTAGATATTTTAGCTTTTCTTGTAGTCTTGTGTAGATCTTTCCTTCTCATTCTTTTGTGTAGTTCTTTCTGGCTTCAATTGATCTTGTGATATGTATAAATATTTTTTTTGAGTTTTTTTTTTTTATTTGGTTCTTACTTGCTATTTTGATATTTATAGTGGATATTTTATTTTTCTTGTGGTCTTGTGTAGATTTTTTCTTCTCATTCTTTCATATAGTTCTTTACGGCTTCAATTGATCTTCTTATAGTATATATAGGTGTTTTTTTTAAGTTTTTTTTTTATATAGTTCTTACTTGTCTCTTTGATATTTATAGTAGATGTTTTGGCTTCTCTTGCAGTTTTTACGTGAATTATTCTTTCTCATTCTTTTGTATAGTTTTTTTCAGCTTCAATTGATCTTGTAGTATGTATAAGTATTTTTTTTGAGTTTTTTTTTTTTATTTAGTTCTTACTTGTCTCTCTAATACTTATAGTAGATATTTCAGCTTCTCTTGCGGTCTTTGTATGAATCTTTTCTTCTCATTCTTTTATGTAGTTCTTTTCGGCTTTAATTAATCTT